GATCTATTTAGTCATCGATATAGCGAAAATTCATTTTTCTACACGTGGACAACCGTTTAGGACAATGAATTTTCGCTATATCGATGACTAAATAGATCAGGAAGATGAAATAAAAGAAGAAGATGCGATATACGCTAGATGTCTAATTATTTATTTTTCGATGTTTGAGATTTTGCCTCATATTCAGACTGGTGAAAGAGAAGAAGATACCGAGGAAGAATGGCCGAGTGGTATAAGGCGTGGAACTAAGCTAGACTATCTTACTACATCGCGAGTTCGAATCTCGATCCTGGCAATTCAATTTTTTGCTTTTTTCTTGCCAACAAGGCAAGAAATACATTTCTTGAGTAAGATCGTAAAAAGGTTGTTTCTTGCACAAGAAATGACAAGATCTTGAGACATTCTTGCCCCAAGATCTTGCTATTTCTTGGGCCCAAGAACTTTCGCTAGGGTAGAATTAAACTTCTTCTAACGCTGTTCATACTCCTTTGAGATAAGTTTCCAAATAACAAAAGGTGGATAATTCGACATTCTCTGCAGAATGGACATCTCAGAAATCATTTTCTAGTTTTTCTGAACAACGCAGTGAAATTGCACATTCTTGTCAAGACCAGGATAACGAAATACCGATGATTAATCGCGATCGATTGACAATCATTTTCACAGTTTTCGATAACAATAGACGACTTCGAAAACGAACTACTCTGGAGTTTTTAACTGGTTTGACTGTCCATCTTACTTGGTACTTTAATGGTTTGTCCAATGTCTAATTTGTCATCATTTTTTGTTTCTGGATTAGCTCCTTTCATTTCATCAAAAGTAGAAACAGATGTTTTGGATAATTCAACAAATACATCATCTGTTTGCATTTTATAATACGTTGCTGGAGTGGTGAGAGATCTAAATGAAAGAAGTGGTAATCAATAATTTAAAAGTTAAAGCTTTACTTTTTCTTTGAGCCAACTGCTTTTATAATATTTTCTATAGTTATATTTAATTTTAATTCTTTATTTAACAAGGCCTCCTTTGTTACGGGTGATTTATCCGACGTTTTAAACCAATCAAGAATCTTCTCTTTTTCGTATGTGTAACCATCAGCAGCCATAACTATAACAGCAATATAATTTCAATTCGGAAGAAAGACGAAAAACAAACTTTACCTGGAACTTCTAGTAGTTTACCGGATAACGGACAAGTTAATAATCTAATCAACTCTTCATTTTCGGGTAACTGAAGACTTTTCATCATTTCAACACTGCTCTGTGTTTCATTTACCAAAACGGATGCTTGATTATGTGCTTGTGTTTGATCTTTTGATGAACAAAATTTTGGCTGTTGATTATCATTGTTGATCAAACTATTTACATGTGTCCAAAAATAATCATGCCCTTGTTCACGCGCAATATCCAAAATGGATTTCCTGTCATTTGTCAATACATTAAGGTCAAAATGAAACTGTTGATTAAATTCATCAAACATATTTTTATCACCAACATAAGCAATTTGATGAATGAAATAAAAGTGCCGATAGGGTGTTTTT